TATATATACATACATACATATATATATATATATATATACATACAAGTAATTGAGGGATTGAGATAGTTTAATAACTGTTTGGATTTGAGTGAGTACGGCAAATTCCCCTGAGAGGCTGAGCTTTACTTTACTCCTACGCCATTTTTGTGAGCAATATTAAAAAAAGGTTAAATTTGCGAGCATAATTGCGAGGGTGGGAGGAAGGTGTGTAGGGTTGCAGGCAAAGAGCGACCGACCAGCGATCAGGCGAGCGAAGAGAGAAGCACAAAAAGAAGAGAGAGAAAGGAGTAGTCAGGTCAAGTCCCACGTTCTGCTACCCCCTCACCGTTTGCCTTTCCGCTTGTGTTTCTGCTTTGAAGTTCCACGCGTCGCTACCTGCTTTTCTCCGAAACCACGTAATGAATTTTCTTGGAATACACTCCATGTCTGCCGCGCGAGCCCCTGCTCTGTCTTTTTATTACTATATCTCGTGTTTCTGCGCAGGACTTTCTCTGAGTTTAGTCGTACGAGGACCCTTTCTCTCGCTATGAATGATCAAATTATAAAAATATGAAATTGTAAAGAGTGTGAGAGAGATGTGGTACGGGAGGGGGTGAAGGAAAATGATGGATTGGGGTTGGAAATGGGAAAAAAAGAAGATTAAGGCGTGTTAGGGTCTTGGGGAGGGGATGGACGTGGGTAAGAGTTATCGAGTTGGTCCCCAAGAAGGCGAAGGAACCCTTTTTTGTTGGGCATTCAAAGAAATGAATGATGCCATCACTATTGGAGCGCAAGAGAGGGGGAGGGGGGAGCGTGTGGTGATGATGAGCTCAGTCCCACGCTTTGATGACGCCAGTTGTGGGAACTATTTATCTTCTTGGAAGCCCTCTATTTGCAACTATTCATGTTTAGAGTGTAAATTTTTCTTTTTTTTCTATAATAGAAAAAATATTACATATGATGAAACATTCGTAAGTTTACAGAATTATATATATATATATATATGTATATATATAGATGTACATATATAAATGTATATGTATATATATAGATGTACATGTACATGTATATATATGTACATATATTATATACATACGTATATGTACATATATATGTATATATGTACGTATATATGTACATATATATGTACATGTATATGTATATATGTACGTATATATGTATATATATATCTATATGTATATATGTACGTATATATGTATATACGTGTATATATACGTATATATACGTGTATATATATACGTATATATACGTGTATATATATATACATATACGTGTATATATATATACATATACGTGTATATATATACATATACGTGTATATATATATACATATACGTGTATATATATATACATATACGTGTATATATATACATATACGTGTATATATATATACATATACGTATATATATATATACATATACGTATATATCAGACGGAAAAAATTTCAAATGTAAATGTACCAACAACCAGATTCAAAGAATAGATCCAGAACTCAATATATGTATATGTATATATATATATATACATATACATATATTGAGTTCTGGATCTATTCTTTGAATCTGGTTGTTGGTACATTTACATTTGAAAGGAGTTTTAGATTTGTTTTTTCTAGTTTTCTATTTTGATGCTATGGCAAATTCTCATTCCAATTTGGTTCTTGATTTTCATCCTGGAAAATCAACTTTTGTTGAAGTGGTTGGGCATGGCGCTTGGGGTTGGGGAATAAAGATAATCATGTTTTCCCTTAATTATATCATGATTCTGCTGATGTAAAGGTGATTGTAATTGGATCAAAAAGATTGTGAAAAAAGATAGAAAACTTGCTTCGGTATTTTCGGATACTGAAATCTCTTGTCTGGCTGATGCCCACAAATTCACATTAATTGAAAAATTCCAATTGGGTAACTCCAAGATGAAGAGTATAAGGAGAACTTTTGAAGATCTTAAGCTAGTAGGTTCTTGGAAGATAAGCTTGTTTGATGGTAGACGTGTTATGATTCATCTTACATGGGAAGAGACTATGCAGCAATTTTCTTTAAGATTTTGATCCTAGTCATGAATCTCCTATTATACCAATTTGGCTTAAATTACCAGGGCTTAAATTACATTTCTTTAATCATCAAATTTTGTTTTAAATTGGATCCAGGGCTTAAATTAAATTTCTTTAATCATCAAATTTTGTTTTAAATTGGATCAGCTTTGGGAAAGCCTTTAAAATTGGATATGCCTACATTCAATTTAACTAGGCCATCTGCTGCTAGAATTTTGATGGAAAAGATGTTTCACTACCTGATGTAAATGAAATATGGTTGGGTAAAAACCATAATGGTTATTGAGAACCAATTATAATGGAGAAAAGGCCATATTATTGTCATCATTGTAAAATGTTTGGGCACACAATGGACAAGTGTTATAAACTTCATCCTCATCTTAAACTTCATCCTCATCTTAAAAAAATTAAACCTTCTATGAAGCTGAATTCTCATGTTGATGTTGCCAAAGTTGATACTACCAATGTAGATGATATTGATGTGCAACCTCATCCTTTTGTGTCTCCAATTATAGTAGCTGATTGTCCAGGGGAACCTAGTATTCTCACTGGGGAAGATGTTCATCTGCAACCTAATTCTATTGATTTATCTCATGTTTTGAGAAATATATGTCCAGCTGAAATTTGTGTTAGAGATGGGGGACTTCAGGATAATGAAGAAGTTCGTGATATGTTGGTTGAGCCTATTAGTACTGGTGAAGAAGTTCATGATGATGGTTTACTGAATAGTGTTGAACCATTGCATAAAAGTGTTAAGGATTCTTCTATTTTATTTCCTTCATCTATTGAATATCCTATTCCTGAACGAGATCCTAATGTTATTATTCAAGACAATATGAATGTGGCTAGGAATGAGTTGGAGGAGGATTGGGTGGTACAAAAGGTTAAGAAGAAAATTAATTTAGAATTGAGACACTTATCTGCTGATAATATTATTATGAATAAGAGTTCTCCCCAAAATCAGAAAACTTTTTTCCTCTCTAGGAATACTAGAGCAGGAAAACAAGCTATGCATGATTAATTTTCTTTGTTGGAATATTAGGGGAGTGGCTGATCCTGGCTCTCTTATACACTTATGAGTTTAAATAGGGCTCATAAGTTTTGGGCATTTGTTTTACTTGAACCTTTAGTTCAAAACAATTTGCAATGATTTAGTAAGAAGTTCAAAGTTATGTCTTCAAGTAGAATTGTTGCAATAAGATTTGCTTATTTTGTAGAAAGAGATGAAGTTTGAGTTTTTGCAAGACCATCCACAATTTCTCATATTGCTTTTGAATTTGAACAATTGAAAGGATTTGCTACTTTTATTTATGTTGGATGTTCTGATGATGCTAGGGTGGAGCTATGGTCTTTATCAATCATGGTATGATTGAGTGTTGGCTTGTTGGAAAAAATTTTAACTATATTGCTAATCCTTCTGAAAAGAAGGGTGGAAGAAATTTGGATTTTAGTGTGATGTTAAATTTCACTAAGAATATTCAGACTGCTAAACTATTTGATTTTGGGTTTAGTGAGTCTTCTTTCACTTGGAGGAGAGGCAATATTTGGGAAAGTTTGGATAGATTTCTTGTGAACCAACCTTGGTTGGATCACTTTTATGTTTCTATGGTCAAGCATCTTCCCATAACTGGTTCTGATCATTCTCCTTTGTTGTTAAATTTTTCTCTTACCAATAAAGATAAGGTAGCTTATTTTAGATACTTAAATGTTTGGGCTTCTCATCCTGTGTTTCAAAAGGTAGTGGAAACAAGCTGGAATTCTCCTGTTATTAATTTCTCTGGTAATCCTATAGAGAAGCTATGGATTTTATAGAAAAGACTGGCTAAGGTTCTTAATCTATGGAATTGGATAGACTTTGGGAATTTACATTTTAATGTTATCCAAGCTGAACATGTTGTTTCTTAGTTGGAAAAGGATATAAAGGATGAGAAAGATTCTGAAAGTCAATTATTAATTGCTCAAAAAAATCTGCTTCTTGCTATTAATCTGGAAGAATCATTTCTTCATCAAAAGGCTTCTAATTCAAAAGGCTTTTAATAGTTGGTTTATGCAGGGAGACATAAACTCTAGATTTCTTCATGCTATTATTAAATATAAAAGGAGTTTGAATGCAATTCTTAAGACTAAAAATGAGGCAGGAGATTGAATTACAAATCCAAAATGTATTGTTGAAAGTGTTGTTGGGCATTTTCAAAGTATTTTATTAGCTGACACTACTGATTCCACTATTTCTCAAAGTTGTTTAACTTCTTCGTTTGACAGTAACTTATTGAATGGTTCTTCATTGAATTTGACAAGAGTGCCTGAGGAGAACAAAATTTATGAGGCTGTGTGTTTAATTGATGGGAATATGACTACAGGGACTGATGGGTACATTGTTGACTTTTATAAACAACAATGGGGGATTGTTAAAGGATATGTGATTAATGTTGTCCAAGGTTTCGTCCGTGGTGTTGATCTTCCTAAGTACTTTACTGTTACTCCTACTGTACTGATTCCTAAGGATAGAAAGAAGAATTGTTGGCATGACTTTAGGCCAATAAGTTTAACCACTGTTTTCTCTAAAATTATCAACAAAATTCTGGTTTCCAGATTGCAACCATTATTGAATGATTTAATTTCTGAAAATCAATCTGCTTTTGTGAAAGGAAAATGTATTAATGATAACATTCTATTAGCTCAAGAATTATTAATTGATGTTGATAAAAAAAGTAGGGGTTCTAATATTATTTCTAAACTTGATCTCACCAAGGCTTATGATACTATTAGCTGGAATTAGCTAGAATTTCATATATATATATATATATATATATATATATTATGAAAGATGATCTCAAACGGTAATATACATG